CTTTGCATTGAAGAAAAGTAGATTTTTGTTTGTATATGCTGTCAATTATAGTTCTTAGAAAGAAAATCTAAATCTGCAAAAATCGGTATCGGCAGATCACACTAACAAAATCACTGATCGGTCAAGAAAATTGCAGTCAGGGCATCTCTAGAGAAAATGTTGGGGAAGCTAGTGAAATAGCTGAAATCAGACTGAGGGGAGTAGCTAAATGCATCAAAATTGCTTATAAAATCTGCAAATTTTGAACAAACTGCTCTGGTATGGTACGCCCTCCACATACTCAAGAAATACCAGCATTTAAAATGCCAACATCATAATGAAAAGTAGGCCTAACACACAGCCGTTTCCTGCCTGACAGCACTGCTTAGAAACCATACAATACAGCCAATACAAATTCATCCAATTCAAGTGTTTTAAAAATGAAAAATGACAAGCATTGTTCATAATTGAATTATTTTATGTCTAAGTATTTGTTTGGACTCTCCTGTGATGTGACCCTGTTCCCCTCACACACGACGCGTTACTCTGCACTCCGCAAAACTCCGCATTTGAACAGTCAGTAGCAAATACTTACACTAGCAAGAGCTTGTAACACTCCAAAGAGAAAGGAAAACTTGAAATCGCATCATATGACCCCTTTAAACAAGCTAAAGAGATTCATTGTAAGACAACTAGCAAAATATCGTCTAATTATCGTTATCGATAAAATCCCATAAAATATCGAGAGATAATTTTTTTTCAATATCGCACACCCCTAGTTGAACTGTTCGAGAACAGTGTTGTAAATACAACTTAACCACTGATTTCTAGTTGTGTCCGATCTTCTTTATGCACCAAGAACTTGTAACACCCCAAAGAGAAAGGAAAAATTTAAATCGCATCATATGACCCCTTTAAAGGAGCCTCCTAAGCCCTGAAAGGGACTTTCAGTACTATAAGTTTTTACAAAGCCATTTTTTTCAATTTCAAAGTGATGAAATAACCTGGTTGAGGTATTGCAGTGTTTTGTATGCAGCACTTTTACATTAGCTGATTAACTTATCCTGAGAAGTGCCTGGAGGACTTCTGTTTAACTGCACGGGCACATCATTTAAAAAGCATATGAGATGGTTCCGTGTTTCATTGGTTTCTGTGCACTCGTAGTGAACAAATGTTACTCTTGGCTTGTTAGTGGTATGTGTTTGTATAATCATTGATATCTTGAAATACTCATCCATTATTTGGATGAGTATAAAACAATGAGCACGAAAAAAAAAAAACGCAAACTGCGTATTTGTGTAAATCTTACATAAAACTAGGGCTGCACGATTAATCGCATGCGATATTTAACGCGCATCTTATCAGTAAAGCCGGTTCTGTAATCAGCGGTAAATCTCCATCACCTGCGGGCTTTCACATTGAGCAGCATTAACTACACAGAGCCGTTGTACAGAACCGGCTTTCTGACAAGATGCGCGTTAAATATCGCATGCGATTAATCGTGCAGCCCTACATAAAACCATTCTTGAATGAATTGCAGCATTCAATTTAGTAGGACAATTTACGTAATAATGGATTTACAAATTTACAAAAATCAGTGGTGGACAGTAACGGAGTAGTTTTACTTCGTTACTGTACTTAAGTAAATGTTTCAAGTATCTGTACTTTACTGGAGTAGTTTTATTTTGAGTAACTTTTACTTTTACTTCACTACATTCCAAAGCATAAGATCGTACTTTTTACTTCACTACATTTCATAAAACATATAGTTACTCCTTATAATATATAGGGTTGGGTACCGAAACCCGGTACCAATATGGCACCGGTACCCATGTAACCGGTATGACCTAGAACC